AAGAAGAATTCGGTCTTTCCTCTCCCTACTACATTGCCCTAATTCTCCTGAAAAATCTTAGTCTGCTGCTAGATCCTGGTGCTAATGCAGCTCTGCCTGAGTCATGAGCCACACATCGAGTTGTATTAGGCTCTGAATTGCATTGTTAGGTTGCTGCACTTGCACCTCCCTCACATATGTCCAAATGATCCAAAAAGGCAAATGGAGTGAAGCCGAGAGTGTATTTGGGTGATCGTGATACATTTGCTTTTATTGCAAGTTTCGTGCTCGCTGCTCTATACACTCTGCACTCCCCCAGCCTAAAACAACGCGCTCGCTAAGGTCCTTGCAGCGCACACAAAGGCAAACAACTGGGACCAGCCCTTGGAAAACGACTGGGAAAGTCAGGATTGTGGCAGGATGCTCTGAGTTTGGAGCAATTCCTGCCGAACGCGTGGGCGGCTCTGGTAATTACATTACTCTGGGATCTGTTATTCCAAAGGCAGCTCACTGAAATGTGGCAGTTATTAGAATTGTCTGTTGGGCGGTTCAGGGAGGAAAAGAAGTGAAAACAACCCAAGAGAAAGAGAGAGTAGCTCAGACTGGCCAGAGTGCAGCTCGCAGGGAGGGGGAATTCTGAACTGCTCAGCTCTCGCCTGCAGGGAGTCCGGGCTTCACAAGTGTTCGGGTGATGCACAGACTGTTGCTCCTTGGAGACAGTGAATGACCTGAGGTTGCAGGAAAGCCTGTTTGTAAAGCCAGCTCCACTGAAGCCTGCAAAGCTGTGTAGTTCAGGCCTCTCCCTGCCTGTCATCCCCAGCAGCTGGGTTTTTTCTCTGGGACTCTTGGCTCTGAGCTGAACTCAAATAAGGTCTCTTGAATGGGCAGATAAGACAATGAGTGGACAGGAAATGAATGTGCCACAAGTCTGAGCTTACTAACCGAGACGTTACATGGGGGATACAACAAGGGTCAATTAATCTACCTCGCATTGGCTCCCAGGGCAAATTAAGTGCCAATTTTCTGCACTGCTGAAGAGGTAAAGAATTAAAATGATAAATAACAGGAAGTTTCAGATGAAAAGAAAGAGCAAGATTGGGGATGACGTTCTAGGCGCTGGAAGCCAGCCAGTAATTAAGCGAACACGTGCGCACACCACTGCCCTCTGCTGAAGAGACCATACGGGGACACTTGCTGGAACATATGCCCCCTCCCTCTCCTGGCTCCCGCTAGCTTAGCTGCTAAATGCCTGGGCTGTAGGGGCAGCCGGGGCAGCACCTGGGTGAGGCTAGCCAGTGCTGGCCATCCATACAGACACTCCACACACAGGGCTGCTAACCGAGACGCTGGCTCGTCCAAACCAGTTTCATTTTTAACATGCGGTTTCTGGCTGGAACAATCCACTCTCTTGAGCCCAGCTATACTCCCCTCATTGGCAATGCACATGCTCAGTGGCCCAGATCCTCAGCTGGGGAGGGCTGGTGTTCCTCCTGTGGCTTGCAGGAAGAGCTTTTGTCTGGGTAAAGTGGGACAGAATTAGAGTGCAGTTTGAAGGATACTTAAGCCTATCTGTGACTTTCAGCCGCTGGGTAGTTCCAGTGAATTCAGGGGGAGTGCTCACCTGTTTTGTTACACACATGCCAAAGTCCCCTCTCCAGTCAGGACCCCGACCTTAACTAAGGTAGGGCACCCTCAGGCATTCTTCATACAGTATGTGCAGCAGCATCACTCTCACTATAACTTAGCCTGGCGCCACTCGGGTTTGGCCCAGCTGCTCCTCCCCTGTGACGGAGGGGCCTCCAGGCCAAATTTCTGGGAGCGGCATTGCAGCCCAACATGCAAGGTGCAATGCCACTCAGTTTGGTGATCTTCGCATCTGGGGGCCAAGGGCAAACTTCCTTTTTTGTGTCCCCGCTCCTGGCAGCCCTGTCCCTGCCAATGGTACACGCCGTGCGTAACGTGTCTACGGCTGCTGGTACCACTGACTAAGGTGTCTGGCTTACTCTTCTGGTGTGGCAGGCGCCCTGCTGCGGTGGTGTTGGGCACTCTAAGATAGACAGAGCTGTTATCAGGATGTGGCCACCAGAGCATGGATGAATGAGAGACTCTTCCAAATGAGGCAGACAGGTGTGTTTTATCCAAGCTGCTGTTAAAGCCAGTGTGGCAGCGCGTGAGCTGGGGTGAACGAGTGCCTGTCCGCCGGCCAGGAGAGCCCGCCTGTGAAAGGTTCTGCGGCACTGGGTGGGGCCAGGATAGTGCTGGAAGCAGAGCGCAGCGATAAGATGGCAGGGCAGGGTATAGTCTCCTGGGCGTGGCATGGCTATGTCCAGGGGCGGCTCTATGTATTTTGCCGCCCCAAGCATGGCAGTCAGGCAGCTTTTGGTGGCGTGCCTGCAAGAGGTCCGCTGGTAACACGGATTCGGCGGGATGCCTGCGGGTGATCTGCCGATCCTGCAGCTTCGGTGTACCCGCCGTCGAATTGCAGCTGAATCTGCGGGACCGGCGGACCTCCCGCAGGCATGCCGCCGAAGGCTCCCTGACTGCCGCCCCCACAGCTACCGGCAGGCCGCCCCCCACGGCTTGCCGCCCCAGGCACGCGCTTGGTGCGCTGGTGCCTGGAGCCGCCCCTGGCTATGCCAGAGGATGCCGACTCCTCTCCCACGCACTGTTCCCCGCCCCCCCCTTTCCTAGCAGCTGTGGTGAAAAGAGCAGCTTTGAACCACCCACCGCCAAGTGCAGCCTTCCTGCCCCCATTCCACACAGGGGAGAGAATCTGGAAAGAGCAACTTCCAGGGGAGCTCAGTTCATCTCATGTTTATGGAACCCAATTGAAAAAAATATGCCCCTAGCGTGTGTGGCCCATTCCAAGCAGCCTCTCTCCCCCACCCCCTCCTCTCACTCCTTCCAAAGCAATGACCCCACACCCCCTGGCAGGCGGTCCATCCCCTTCTCCACCCACAGCAACTGTCCTTGCCAAGCTGAAATGGCTGCTCCGCAGACCCAGCTTCCTTCATTTCCTCTCCTTGCGCTCCCTCTGCAGGCTCCTGGCACACTCTGCCTCTGCATTGGGGTCTTTTTCTTATATAGGCTCCTATTACCCCCCACCCCGTCCCAATTTTTCATACTTGCTGTCTGGTCACCCTACATTAATCACACTCTGCTTTACGCACACAGCACTGAGGGGCAAAACGCTTTGTTTCACATGCTCATAGATCTCGGAAATATTCACTTTGGGGGCTGAAACTTTGGTCGACTTGTCTTAACCCCACAGCCTCCCATCTTGTTTGTCTCTTTTGTTCACCTGTTGCCTCCTGTCTTCAGAGTTGCCTATGATGATGATTGATTACTTATCTTAAGTAAGAAGGCTCCTAGGTGCTAGTCCAGGCCCCTCTGGTGCTAGGAACTGTACAAACACAGAACAAAAAGACAGTCCCTGGCCCAAGGAGCTTACAAAACTAAGCTTAAGACAAGAGACACCAGCTGGACACACAGACAGACTGGGAAGGATAAGAAAGAATGACAACATGATAGGCAGTGGTCTCAGCACACCAGAAGCGTTTTATGTAGGCATCACAGTAGAGGAGAGTTTGGAGGAGCGTTTGAAGGTGGATCGTGAGGTTGCTTTGCAGCTATTTACACGGAGCTCCTCCCAAGCAGTTGGGGCAGTGTGGGAGAAAGCACGATGGTGCTCGTTTGAAAGTTTAACAAGTGGGGGATGGAGACTGGTGTCGGGGGCCCAGGGGAGACGAAGTTGATATCTCAGTAGCTTGTCATTAATTAGCCTGGCTAAAGAGCTGGGTGGAGCTGCTCCGGGGACAAGCTGGCTCGCTCCTGCTCATGGAGGTGAATTCATCTCCCTTCCCAGGAGCACCTGCTCTCCCTTTCATTCCGCACCAGGCTCCTTGTGCCAGGCCAGCGAATGGCCACAGGATGGGAATGAGGCCTGGGCCCCGCCCCAATCTCCTGAGTCTAATGCAGCTGCTCACTTTGTCCCCCATCAGCTGCTGGGTTTCCCCCAGCAGGGAGTAGGTGACAGGGAGAGAGACACACACATTTGTCCTTCTGGTTGCAGGGCTTGTGTCCTTCCAATCCCATTGGTGGCTGCACAGTGGGCAGAGTCCTCGCTGCGTGCCCGGCTCAACCGAATTGCAGGGCGTGGTGTGGAACACAGAAAGAGATAGAGAGACTCGTCTTCCAGCTGTGGTCAGTATGAGAGAAATGGCTGGGGTCCCAGT